CAGTAAATCATCCTATCAAAGCGTACAACTGAAACTCTTACATTTGAAATTTTCACCGACAGCTAATATCGTTTTCACTTGTTTTGACTTGTGATTATAACTACTGCAATGTTGTCTTAGAAAAACAGTCAGTCAGGTTGATACTTTCGTTTGTGGCAGGGGTCTTGGGTTTTCATATTTGTTCATTTTGTGACGATACCTACCATTCCCTAATTTAGTGCAATTGCTGTTATATTCTAAATATAGTTAGTCCGATTGCTTTGATATTTAATCCTCTAATATTAGTAATTATATTAAAGCATTGTCAATACAAGCGAATTTTATGACGTCATTGCCACAGATTATTCGCGATAATGTATTGCATCATTGCATTATTGGGCCCCGTACCATGCATAGGAATAAATTTTGAGTTCGGAAAACAAATAAAGAGGCGGCCATTTAATAATAATAAGGGAAACTATGGGGTGAAAACGAATAAAATCAAAACTGAAAATTAATAACTAAATAACTAAAATAATTATTTGTTATTAGTTTACATGAAAAATGTCATTCCCGCCATAACGACAAACAAAAACCGTCGTCTGGCCAATTCCAACCTCGCGAGAAACACCCGGTACCGACGCCCAACACGTAAATAAATGTAGCTCACCAAAGGCAAACAATGACGCGTTTTATCGATGTCGACGAATCCCAGTTAAATGTGCTCGAAAATGCAAGAAATGAAAAAAGATATTTCACAGCAGACTAAATGGGGAGTACGTGTTTTCTTCCTAGAATGGCTTGAATACAAGGGGCATGCGCCACCAATATTTTGAAGAACTTCGTGTCATCTTGCTGTGGGAATTTTACGCTTCAGCTCGCAAGCAAGATGGGGTGCAGTACAGCAAGCCGTCGCTGTCTTCTTTACGAGCTTCAATCCATCGACACATCACTGGTCCCCCCGATCATCGCAAAATTAACATCATGTGGGATAGGAATTTTCAAGTATTTCTTATAACTTATATATTACTGATTACTTTAAAAGCACTAGGACATATGAAAGAAAACCGTTACTGGATATTTAATTGAACTTTCGACCTAAACAATACAACTGAATTATATGTGATACTATTTTGGAGCATTACGATATGAATTATTTTCAGCTCCCCGCCATAATGACGATTTAACTACATTTCATAAGCTTTCTCACTACTACTTAAAATGTGCAGGCTAATATGATCATATATTGTATTGCTCAGTTGTTTTTAATCTCTCCTCAATTATTGAATAAAAATATGTGTCCAGATTTGTCTGCAAAATGATCCACCGTTCAACAACAATGATTTAGGTAAATAAATACATCAGTTACACTTGTAGTGATCTTTTTTTGTCGTTTACAAGGGTGGAAATAACTCCACATACAAACTCTACAATATCTGAATATTTAATTTCTTTAACTGTTCGCGACATTTTACGTTTTTAACGTCAGCATATGACATAGCATTTTAAAATCAGTTGGCCATCACTCTGACCAAAATTAAACTTTTTTAATCTCTTTCTCTTTTTTAAAACAGGGAAAACAATCTTTATATATGTGGCTTAGTCAAACCAATCAGAACAATGGGCTAAATAGAAGTGACAAATTTCCAAAAGAGCCCAAAGTAAAATTTTGCTGAATTGAATAATTGATTTGGGACGCCGGATATGCAAGTTATTACCAGTAGGTTATGAAATGCTTCATGTGATTTGTTCTTGTGATTCATAGATTGCCCATACGTTTTGTGTATCTGTCGTTATCACCGTTGCTGATTAACTGAACATAAAACGATTATCCCTGGAAGGAAGCTAATGAAATTAGGTATACATGGTATAAAAATTGATATTTATAAAAAATATGTAATGAATACAATTTTTGTGCAAAGAAAATATAATTATCATAACATAACTTTGTTCATGAAAAGTGACACAATTTCAAACATACTGTTTCGGTTATTGGAATAAAACACTTGCCTGGGTATCTTGAATATATATAATAACACAAACTGCGTCAATTGTAAGAGATATCATACTTTATTTAATAAAATGTAATAAAAATTCACTCATGTTCGCCAATATAACAAATCCGATCTGTTAAGATTTCCCGACCATTGTTATTATTCTATTTCATATATCTACAATGCCTTAAATGAGGATAGAAAAGACGATGAGGTAGGTCTCAGTGGAGTATAAATTAAGTTATATTGGCATGCCATTCCATATTCCACATTTAGTCACGTGAGAATAATATGATATCAATGCAGCGGAATAAACTACAAAATGGCAACTCTACTTTCTGTATGTTTTTCCTGCAAGTAGAATCACAATAGTTGGGATCCCTTGTACCAAAATATAAGTAAGAATTGCACAATGTCGGTCATCTCAATCTTATAAATTCTTTCCATCAACCGAGGTTTCAAAACCACCATGACCTAATATTTACTGATTTTAGTGATATATTTTTTATATAATTTCAGACATGGAACGACGTTTGATGCTGTGGTTTATTGTATGTATAGTGCTCTCCATACTAACAACATTGTTTATGCGATGCCTTGATTGGAGCTATTTATCATCTAAAGATATTCCAATGACCGTATCCGAGAATATTGAAATACCTGCCTCCCAGAATATTAGGATAACTGCAATTAAGAAGGTCAAACCAATTCACGTGTTAATTAACGCTAGAATGCGTACAGGATCATCTTTGACCGGTCGTTATTTTTCTAATCATCCTGGATTTATGTACCTATACGAACCGGAACTCGCTTTACGAAAGTCGTTTCATTATAATGTATACAACGACAGTGCAGCAAATATCGAGAAACTTCAAAAACCGTTCTACAAAATTATTGAGGGATTTTTTGACTGTGATTATACAAGATGTCCTGAACTATTGCCTGTTATCAACAAGACAAAGTGGATGAAATCAAGTAATGGTCTCGCCCACCTTGAAGGCCCTCAGTTTAATGCCAAACGAATATCTGAAATATGCATGACAAAGGCTCATCGTGTGGTGAAGACTGTGCGGATAAATGATATTTCCAAAGGTCTGGAAACGTTAAAGAAGTATGATGCGAAAGTCATCCAAATTGTAAGAGATCCTCGGGCAATGATCAACTCGAGAATAAAGTTTGAACACTTGGACACATGTGAAAAACAGGGGAAAAGCGCGCAAAAAATCAGTGACGCTAGTAAAAACTATTGTATATGGTTAAAAACTAACATAGACGCAGTTCGCAACGGGTCAGAGTGGTTGAAGAAACACTATATGATCGTGCGGTACGAGGACCTGACTTCAAGACCACGTCAACTAGTTCTGCAAATGTACGCCTTTATAGGCGTGTCAGCTACAGATGAGATTGACAAGATTCTGTCAAGCCAGAAATCAAAACCAGTCAATGCAGTTGCATGGAGATATAGTCTACCCTTCAATCAAACACGCATTGTTCAAAATAACTGCCATGACGACATATTCGAAACTCTAGGGTATGTGACAGTCCATAATAAAAACCAGCAACACAATAATTCACTCACTCTGATTACGTCATCGTCACCACATATTAGTAAATTGATCACCCTGGAGTCGGATTCTGAATAATATTATTATTGTAAATGAATTAATGTTGTGCCCTAGAATACTTGGCATGAAAACAACATGGCTGAAAACGATGTTGGTGTCATGCTTGTGTTGTTTCTTTACATAGTACGTTACTGTTGAGCTGGGAAAAAACAGTCGTGAGTCTGAGACAATACACTGGTGTTATAATTTAGGTATCTCGAACCATGCTCGAATAAACAAGATACACAGCAGCTAAAATACGCTAAATGTGTTACAGCCTATTCGCTTAAGTTATTGTCATGCAAAATTACCATATTGTAATTATTCAACTGTTGTGATATTTGTAACAGTTGTCAAAAAACTAGTAGGAACACGTCGCCTACCGTAACCGATTCTACAATTTTATCTTTGGTGTTTTAACAAGTTTCTTCAATTTCCATTGCATCTGTTCAGTCGTCCTTTCAAGTTTTTGTTGCATCATTTCGTACGCCATTTTTCTGTTTCCCGTTGAACTATCAATCTTTCGTTGTAATTCTTTACTCTGCAAAATAGATATTAGGGCGCGTACCTCTTTGTCAAACCAGAAATTACGTGAAATTACAAACGATGTTGTCTCCGCCATAGCTGAAATGAGATGTTCCTTGATGAAAAAGAGTGAGGGCGTGATTTCGGCTCCGATAGTTGGGCGCGATGCATATACATGGTCGGAGCCATGTCGGGTCCAACACTATCGGAGTTCAACCCCGAGGTTTTATTGGAGCCGAACTTGTGCTCAGATAAAATGCTGTCATGTAAACCTAGCAATACACGAATTGTAAATAGACAGTTATATAAACCATTTCAAACATGTATGTATACATACAATACATACATGTATATATACAATGATAATATTTTATATCAAAGCACCAAAAACTAAATTACATCTCCAATAGTAGAATATAAATATTGAACACAAAAGAACAAATATTTAGACATCGGAAAACTCAATGCAAATGAATAACATTATTCACCGTAGCTATACTAAAGGTAAGACAAATTGTTACCTCGTTTTGTTGAATTGAATCTAGTCAACGTTTACTTGAATTTATAATGTGTTCAATGAATGTCCCCAGTGCCCAAACAAAAACAAGTCTACAAAATACCTATTATCTATTATAAGCCGGACCCGTTTGAGTATGCATGTGTAGGTATAACTTACGTGAAACTATATATCTATCACGAGTTCAATACCACCTACATTACATGTTTCAAAAATGAAAAACAAATCTTAAAATAAGGGTCAAATATATTTGCATGACACCTAGACTGGCTTGACAGCTAGAGCAAAACGTTCTTTGTTATTCTGTGGCTATTACGTGACCTGCTGTAGATGCTCACTTGAGGAGCCGGTGAAAACAGCTAAAGTCGAAGAAACAGCACAAACTCAACTTTGAAATAATCCTTAGCAACTAAATGTATATATGTAGAGATAATATTGTTACCCTGTTCGAAGGAGTCTGATCAACTATCCCAAATTAAAGTTTTCTGAAAGTTTTCTGCCTTTGTTTTCACCGTGACGGTATGCATGCGGTGAAAAAACACACGGATGTCTGCTCCAAGTATATAGAAGGACTGTGGATCAGTACAATACTAGAGATGAAATGTATGTTTTTGGTTGTTATAAGTTTGTAGTATCACCGCAGCTAAACAAATAAAACGCACTACCACACACAGAGTCAGACACCTATAGAATCGTTCAGGATGGTAGACTGGGATAAGACGGCTCATGTAAACGCCACAAATGTTACATTCATTTATGCATGAACGTGATTTAAAC